ATTCAGATCAGGCTACAACAAATCTTTATGCACCTACAATTACTAGTTCATGCTTTAATATTCGTAGTCCCCAGAGCCACATACCCGAGGAGCTAGATTAGCATTTAAACTTTTTCCTAGTACTTTTACCAAGTATTTAAAGCAATTGATACCTAAAAATTTATAGATTTTTATAGTCCACTGTCATCTTGAAAAAATCAAAGGCTCCTAAGAAAGAGGAAAGAGTTTAAATTAGTCAGTATGTCATTTCTAAATTACTTAATTCAGAGTATAGTTAGTATTGAGAAAAGTTTTTAGTTAACCTTTTTTTTTTATTTCCTGAGAAGCATGTAATTCTCTCTAGTTCTAAAGGCTAAGGTTACTACTTCTGTGCTGTAATGGATGTTAAAGATGTTAGACAGTTGAGGAGTCTCAAATGAGATGGGGTGTTGAATTCTCAGATATTTCTGCATATTCAGAAAATAGAAAAGGGTTGCTATAAAAATCAGAACCTTTAATTAGGATCAACTAGTCTGATTAAATAATTCTGAGCATAGATTTCTAACCAAGTTTAGTTTTCTTAGATTTGTTTTCCAAGGGAAGGTTATTTATATTGCAGACTAAATCTTTGCTTTACATCTCCCCTTCTTTTAAGCATCCTCCTTTAATGTTTATTTTTCTTTGTTTTCACTGCTGTCATGAATGCTGACATAAGTGGGAATGCTATGCCAGGTAATGTCAGCATCATTGAAATATACAGATCATTATCTCAAAACTTACATACTCTAAAGATAAAACTACAAATGAGAGATAGCAACAAGAAGTTTTTCATTTACAAGGCCAAATGCCTTAATCTTACCTTTGACTACCACATATTACAAATTGTTTCTATTATTCCAGCTTCCAGTATGCTTGAAATTGACCCAGGCGGCTTGTGTTACACAAAAATTACATAAACAAAGAATATGCCTTTTGAATAAATATTTGAAACAAGGAAATCAATGTAGTTGTGATATCTTTTAAAATTGTATATTTGACCCCTAACTCAAAACCTTAATGGTTGCACCCACCAATGACTGCTTTTCAGCTACTGTCAGTATACGTAGATAATCATATGTATGATTTGTGTTCTTCTTTCCTTCCACTTTCCCTCATCCTTTTCATATCTGCATAGTCTTACTAAAAGTCTCTGATTTAAGTAGCAATGAGTAAATATACTTTGAAATGTTTTTCTGACATTAAAGGTAATTTATCTGCTGATTTTATTTAGCATATTCTATCTTACCAGTACAAAGACCTGATAGTTAACAAACATCTATAGAATGTATCATATAACATATTCTTAATAAAGAATTAACTATGTAAGAATCACTAGGGGAGATACAAAGATGGGTAATATAATTTGCCTACAATCTGTATGTCAGTATAAGAAATATTTTTGAGAAGCATGTTTGTGCCATTCATTCTGTTTAGCATCCCTGCTCCTCTGTTTACTTTTTGGAGTTCTTTGCCAGAAATTTTCCCTTCCAGATGACGTACTACCTGAGGTCAGGAACAATATCTTATTCTTCTTTATATTGCTAGTAGTTAGCACATTACATGGGAAATAGTAAGCCCTCATTAAATGGAGGTTAATAAATGAGTCACTTCAGAATGCAAGTAAGTCTCTGAGTGCTGCCTCTAGTATGTTTTTCTACCTCTCTTTAATCTTACATGATGTGATTATTTGAGTACATGGATTTTGTCATGTTTAGTTCATGTTAGCTGGATAATAGAGTGATGAAAGAGACAGACCCCAACAGAATTCTGATGCTGTGTGGTAAATGCCAAGATGAAAGTATAGACAGGCTTGTTATGAGAACGTAGGGAAAGCACCTAACCCAACCGGGGAATCTGGAGCTGAGTCTTAAAGTTTGAAAAGGAGTTAGCCAGGCAAATGAGGTGTAGAAGTGAAAAGTAAAGGAAGCTACTTAAACACATGAGGTATAAGACAGTTTGGTCTATTTGGATATACTATTCAAATATTGCCCTTGTGTAACATCCTGAGCAGCATCTGGAAAGAGTTTGAATCAGGGAAGTGACACACTCATATTAATATTTTTGTTTATATTCTGTACATTATGCTGGCGGCAGCAGGGAAGGTATATTTCATTGTATCATCAGTAAGGCAGATGTCGGTAGACTTCCTATAATCTCGGCTAGAAGATACAGGGGGTTGTACCTAATGCCTTGCTCACAAGTTGACCTGTTGGGCCATAGGGATTTCTCTGCCGTTTAATGTGTTACTGCTTATTCTTTTCCCACCTTTTTAAAAAACTTAAAAATTTTACTTTGTATCCTGCCTTTTGTTATATCATAAATTCTTTGATGCCATCTTTTCTAATTATTTAGATTATTCCATAATATTTCAGCAAATGATTGTAGTTTATTTAATGGTTCCTTTATGTTAGACGTTTTTCAGTATTTAGAATCTTTTTTTTTAAGATAAATTTCTAGAAATGAAATTGTTAAAGGATATGAACATGTTCTTGGAATTTGTCACCATGCTGCTTTCTGAAAAGATGAAAGTTTATGCCTTTATCAACAATATGTGAGTGTATTTTTATAGCATTCATTATAGCATTCTTCAGATTATTAGTGTTAAAAATCTTTTTGGTAATTGAACAGGCAAATTACTTCTCATTTTAATTGACATTTCTTTTTAATGTTGAACATTTTTCTATGAATATATTAAATTATTTCCTTTTTTCATTTTACTTTGAGTTTTTGTGTTTTCTTTATCAAATTGTTTGAGCTATTACATAGGAAAGATATTAACTTCCCATCATGTTTATATCTAATTTTCTAGAAGTCATTTACCTTTTAATTTTTTGTCTAGATGCTTTTTATTTTTCCATATTCTAATATTTCTGATTTGATGCTCTCCACTTAGGAAGTCCTTCTCCTTCTATATAGTTGATAGTTATTTTTATTTTCTTCTAGTTTTTCTATGGTTTATCGTTTTCTTAATAACATATGGGGTGACATGAGGACCTAGTTCTTTTGCAAAATTATTAACCGATTGTATCAACATCATTTGTTGAATAATCCTTCCTTTACCTGTAGTGCACTTTTAATATGAAAGTGCTCATACTTTTATTTGTCCTCATCTTGAATCATTTAAAACGTTTTCATACCTTTTGAATCATAAATTTTTTTTATGTGTTTAGGAATATCACTCTTTCCCATAACTAGATTTTAAGGGTTTTGAGGATAACAGTCATGTCTAGATCACGTTTTATTTTTTTCCACAAGAATTATTATTTAATGACCATTAAAATTTATCATTATAAAACTTTTATTAACCCCTATTAGTATGATTCATAGTGGGGTATCCTAGTTTAATTCTTTTTTTCCAGGATAAAAACTGCAGTTTTGCAGTGAAACTGCTCAGAGCAAGGAAACCCCTAGGATATGGGGACCTGCTGGACCTCTTTCAGGTGTGTGAAAGTGCATCATTTGATCTCACAGTTATAAAATTTGGAAGTAAAATATATTTATCAAACACACAGTGTTACTCTATTAAAGGAGTTGTGCTTCGTGAGGAATTTAGGTTGAGTAAAATTTCTCTTTTCTTTCTCCCTGAAAGCTGTCTATATATTGTCTTAGAAATTGAAATAGAGAGTTTTGATTAAAAAGAGTTGACTTTTTTCTTTTTTTTCCTGGAGTGATTTTTTTTTTTAATGGTTAAAGCCAGATGTCTTTATATAGCTGCACAGCCTTTTCCTTCTAATATGGTTTTTAAACTCTTAACCCATAGGAAGATTTTTACATAAAGCCACCCTTAAATAACATGTAAATAAAATTACTGCTTATGAAGAGAGTGCAGTAATCTCTCAATTAGAAGAGCAGGATTAATTTTTGCTTCTTAGGACCAGTATCACATTTAAAAGAAGAGAAAAAATTGGTAACTGTTTTTAGTGATCTTTGTCTTCATTGTGGTCTAGTAGACATATTTTTGTTTTTTATATTATGCTTCAAAAAAAACAGAATAGATCAATAGATTTTATTTTTTTGTTGTTGTTCATCATCTCTTCTGGATAACACAGAAATTTCCTTTGACCATTATATTCGTATACAAACTGGGTGGAAAAAAGTAGGAAGGATTCCTTTGAGTTACATTAAAATATAGTTAAAATTACTTTTGTTACTACCTTCAGTTTATCTGAACTTGATAGATCTGGATAACTGACTGACATGTATACAACCTTTCACTATACGTTACCTTATTATATTCACTCTAGGAGGCACAATTTTTTCACATGTTAATATTCCCCACATTGGTATGCATCTTACTGTTTGTTGATGGCATCTTAGAATCACTGTGGGCAAGGTAATGTTGTAGTTGTCTGTTTCAGTGCATGTGTGAACTTGTTCGTAGTTGTTCATATTGTCACATAAGTTGAGTTTTATGCATTGTTGATATCACATAAGTTTAATGGCTATTTGGAATGTCACCCTAGTTGTTGTGCAGGCAATTTCTGTTAACATCTTATGGTAAGTTCAAAAAAGCACCAGTATCAAAGTGTGCAGACTGGGCGTCTTTGGCTTTAAAGACTATCTCAGAGATGATAGTAAAGTACTCTCAAGCAATGAGGCATCCCAAGCAAACAATCCAGTTAAAAAATGGGCAGAAGATCTGATATTTTTCCAAAGAAGACATACAGATGGCTAACAGGTGCATGAAAAGATGTTCAACATCATTAATCATTCAGAATATGCAAATCCAAACCACAAGGAGATATCACCTCACACCCGTTAGAAAGGCTGTTATCAAAAAGATAAGAAATAACAATGAGCTTTTTGGCCCAGAGGATGAAATTGTGAGGAAAATTTCTAAGTGATAAGAAAGTACTGTATCATAGTTTAATTCGCATAATTGATTGGCACTGATTTTCTTTCTGGTAATATTGTAGGTGTGTCTTAAATCATTGTCATCAGAGACTCTGTGGAAGTATGTTGTTTTTCCTTCTATGAAGGCAGGATCCCTATGCTACATTTATCTGTAGGCTTCAGGCAGATAACTGTGAAGTGTTTCATTGGTTCCTCTTAAACACTTTTAACTCTTTTAGTTTCCATTTGCGTTAGATGCTGTTTACCTTCGAGAATGGCAGCATAATGTTGTGGGAGGAATAGTGAGCCAGGAATAAGAAGATATATTTCATATTTTTAGATTCTAGTTTTACCACCTACTTACTGTGTCGCTTGGTCCAAATCACGCCCTATTCTCTATATGAACATTGTGATACTCAATGAGAAACGTATGTTAATGTCATAAAAATTATAAATACAACTTGTTAGTATTGAAAACTTATTTGCCTGAGTAAGATTTAATAACTGGGAATGTTCAGCAGAGTTAGAATTAGCCTTGTACTTCAGTGATTCTGGCAGGATTGAATATAGCAGGTTATTTACTGCTTCAGAATAGTGTTTTTTTGAGCTTTATTATTTTTTAATCATTCATGTAAATGTTTTGGGACATTGTTATGGAAAATTTATGTCTCTGATTTTGAATAAAACCTTTATACACAAGAAAGCAAGGAAATAATGGAGGTTTTTTGGAAGCGCTATTCTTTGCCAGTCATATTTGCCATCTCTTAGCTGCAGTAAATCAGTAATTCATGCTGGCATACTGAGGGACTTTTCAGAGTGTGCTGTAGGAAATAGTAGTCTTTATTTGCCATACTACAAAAGGAGATTAGGGAGAGGAAAGAAAGGGATGTAAGTGATAAATTTAATGTTAACACTAGTTTTACATTTTTAATGGTGATTCTGGATGACTTTCTCAACAGTTTCTTTTGAAAAACATGTTAAAACTCAGACTTGTATGTCTAATTATAAGTCGTAACCTGAAAAATAATTAATGGCTGTAGTACATTTGAAAATGAATACCGAGCACAAAAGTTTGATATTCTCTTGCCTTGGAATTTTATGTTATTCATTCAAATTGGAATGACAAACCTGTCTTACTCATCTTTATGTAGCCATTCAGTAAGTGTGTATTGATTTAATTTCATTTTATAAATTTAATTATGTATAATTCAGTTTGTGCATTTTCTAACCTTTTACATTTTTGTTGCCACTAAAACTTCTGACAGAACTGGCTTAGTAGGACTTAAATTAAGATTTGGAATTACAGCATGTGCATCCAATTAATTTAAAGTAATGCTTCAGTAATAAGAGGAATAATGTTACTGTTTTTAATGAGTTTACTTCTTGAAGAAGAAATGCCAGTAAATTCAAGACATATAATAAAATTCTAGGGAGTTTCTGAATATTCATTCAGAAATGTGGTGAGGGTGATGTTTATACTATTTTCAGTTACTTTTCTGCTCCAGAATATGAATTCTTATTCAGGTTTTCCCTTCTGCACTTTCAAAGAAATAGAGTCTTTCTCTGAGGCAGGATAGAACTGAGAAGTTGTCCTTAAAGAGTTTATAGCGGAAGATGGAGGAGAACCAAGGGACCCAGTGTCAAGAGAAAGGCAGGGCAAGCTGTAGAGGGGAGGAGTTTAGATACAGAGTCTAGTATTTATCCAAAGTTTTTTAACTCTTACTGCTTGATTTTTTAAATTTTGGTGTTTATTTCATATTACATGGTTTTTATTAAGATTATCATTAGTGGTTGTAATTATATAAAATGTATTCTTATTTATGAATCATATTTAACATTTTATATGTGTTCTAAATAAAGCATTGAAAGAGAACAGCTCAGAGGTTGTTCAGCCTTTTCTAATGGGTTGTGGAACCAAGGAACCGAAGATCACTCAGCTATGTTTGGCTGCCATTCAGAGACTCATGTCCCATGAAGTTGTATCTGAGGTAATGTAAAGATTTTATCTGAACTGTGCACCTGTGAATCAAATCAGGCATTTTCATAAGGGCAGAATAAAACATACCTGATTATTAATGTAAAACAGTGCTTGAAGGGCATGGCTTAATTTTAAAAGATTATCAAATTGTCTCATTAAATCTCATAAATAATGAATAAAGATGAAGTACATTTTGTCAAGTCATTTGTAATCTAGCAAGTCATAGTTCGGTAGTATAGAGGATAATTTTGAGAACCAAGCAAAGTTTCAGTATCATTGAAGTAGAATATTATTCATAAATTATCTTTTAAAAGATAAGAGAGAAAAATTATGACTGCTTGCTAGATTATGTGAAGTGATAATTTGTTGTTCATTAACTTAAGTGTGTTGTTTGTATCTAACCTTTTGATGGCAAAACAAGGAAAAACATGTCATCACTAGAAGTCTGCATCCTGCTTGCAAATATAATGATGTTAACTTTGTGCTTCATGTGGTACTTTAATAGAAGTGGTAAAGTCCTTTGCCTTTGGTATAGCATTCTAAACAATGTCAGATTTAATTGAATTTATAAATGTTAATTTGAGTTGTGTTTTGTTTTTCTATAACATATTATGAATAGAATAATGTATAAGAAACAGCAGACTCAGTTAATTTGTGTATGTATGTATTCTGAAATGTCCAAATTAACTATACCCATATTATTATAGAAATGAGCTTTGATTTTGGCTAGGTATTTCAGAACTATATGCTGCTATTTGCATATATTCAAATGGTATATTTTAAATTTTAAAGAAAAATTTTTGAAAAA